GGATTTTCATTTAATGTAGACACCTATATAAGTATAAAATCTAAATAAACTGGCTTTAAATAAAAATTCTATTGAGTTTCATGACAGTTTTTCTTAATTGAATCTATATACTGAATTGGATGTTAGGAAAAAATATGATACAAAAAAAATGTAGTTCATAAGCGACTAAACTGTCCTACTTGAATAAATGACTTTTGATTTGATTTGATTTGATAAACTAGTATTATAGAGAGTAGTCTATATAAGTTTGACATTACACTTGAAAAGATCTTTCATTCTTTAATTATCTTAAAACTTACTTTCTATATACATTATGTATGTATTTATAAATGCATTTAAGTATATCTGTCACTTATCCAGTACCCATAATATACGCTCTGCTTAGCTTAGGTTTAGATGGCGCTGTGTGAATTGTCCAAGAAGATTATAACTTTTATGTAATTCATTTTTAATTAGATATAATATATAGTTGCCGGATAGTAAACTAATCATGGAAGCGTGTCAGATGCGCTGATTACTGCTGTCAATAATAGATTTGCATTGTGTTTACTTATATATTGATATCCACCATTAATATGACGTAAATTAAAAGCGATAGCGGAAAAAAAAATTCTTAAATTTATTAAGGGATTTTATCATAATATGATAATGTCAGTCCCATCGTACCTTATTCCAAATATTATCTTCTACTATACAATTAATCAAAAAAATTTGGTGGCGATGATACAGGATGATATCTGTGATGATGATGATGATGAGATACAGGATATCGACAGGATCACATATCCCGTGATATATACCAACATCAATCAAATTGAGTTCAATATTTTTATATACAGTTCCCTTTTAGTAAGTATATGTCAGACATTTTCCATTAATATGTGATGCAGATCTTCTAAAGTATTGCGTGTTTCGCAGTTGGTGGAATTCGGTTTATGCAAATGAATTTAATGTAATGTAATCCTCCATAAGTTGACAGTGTAAAAAAACTAGCTATAATAAAAAAAAGGTCAATCAGTTTCTTGCCAGTTGAATCTGTGATTTGTTGCCGGTTGCTAGGTGAATCTCAATTGAATCTGTACACTGAACTGTACGGTAGGGAAAAAATATTACTACATTAATATGAATGAATTTTGATTTAATTTGAATGAATAATGTCTGGAACATATTCTTAAAGCTGTGACAAGTGTTGTTTGATGTTTTAAAAACAATTTATAATATGATAAAGATTTTAATCCACATTATTCACAATCCCCTTCCCCCTCCCCCCTCCCCCCCTCGTGGAGGTTAATCTGACATGGTACATGGGGTTATTAGTCCACATTACTAATAATTAATAATATATTCAATTTCCTCCTTAAATATTACATTATATAATAGGCAAAATAAACTTTATATATTAATATTAATAGAGTACTTTTTGGTATGAATCTGCGAAGTGGTGCAATAAAAAAATATGACTATTTCAAAGTGCTTATATTAAGTTTATTTGAATAAATATTATTTCTATTTCTATAATTCCTTACACGCTTCAGCTTGTGTCTTACACCTAATTGTAATAAGTGGTTTTGTGTACAGATGTCAGTAATTACTCAGTGAGCTAATGAAGATATACTTAATTAGTGTCAAGACATGTAGCCGGTTCGAGTCTAGTTTGGTTTGTATTTGTATACCTGAAAGTTTATGGTTTTAATCTTTGAGGTTGTATATTATGGTAGTATTGGTAGAATGGTAGACTTGGTAGAATGGTAGATATGGTAGAATTAGTAGAATGGCAGGAGGTTTTGATAATGTAATATATACAAATAGATAAAATTTTATTTCTGTGTCTGTTTGTAATTTCAAGTTAACAACTTTTCACTAAATGCATATGAATAGTACTTATTTCAAAAAATCATTTAATAAATTTTGTCTGTCAGTTTGTTCTAATCTATGCTATAAGAAATCATTTAGACTAGTTTATTTTAGAATTATTTATATATTTTAATTCCATGTGCATAAGAATTAGCTTACTACTAATTCTGGACAATTTAGTCTGAAGCTAAGCAGAACTTGCTGTATTGGGTACTGGACAACTACTAGGAATATTATATACATATTTTTTGTAAATATTATATACATATATATACAATATATAGAAAACAAACATTTTCATGCATACAAATGATTGCATCTTGAAAGGAATCGATCCATGGAATGTGTTATATAGAAAATAGCTTTCAGTTATAAAGAAAAATTTTGTCTTAGTGTTCAAATCAAATCAAATTAAAATATCTTTATTCATGTCGGTCTATTACAGACTCTTATGATATGTCAAACCTATCATCAGTTCGGAGTGCTTTCGAGCTGAGAAGAACTGACAAGGAACTCAGCTTCACGTTCACTTCAAAATTTCAATTTCGGTTTTGGTTATTCATATTGCACTTTATATTGTCATTGATTAATGAATTCTATTATGTGTGTGCTAAGTTTCAAATTTGTATTGAATAATAGATTTGACATTTGAAAAATTGAAATATGTTAATCATAATATATGGAAGTACTCATCAAATTATTCATGAATTATTAATGGATATTCGAATGAAATTAATTTCTGGTATTGATTTCATCGACGTACCCAAAATATTTGTTTCTTTAACATTTTGGATAGGATACTCTTTTGGATAGGATACTCATAAATAACACAATTTGGAATTTAAATTTATTATAAAAAAAAACCTTTTTTATTTTACAAAACTTTTACATATATAATATATAGATAATGAGAAAGAAATCCATTGGAATTTATTACTTATTAATAACGCATTAAGTACTATTATTCGATTCTTCAAGAAAAGGTCATATGATTTTCTGAAGTCGACAGGAACCTGTAATTTCTCCGGTGTCGCAAATTCTCACGGTTGGCTGTATACCAAAGAAACATAGATCATGTTACCTGTAACTCCACAAATTAAATTCCTCAAACAGCATTCTGAAAACAAAATATCCAATTCAATGAATTATTTCTTCAAAACTTTACAACTTATATTCGCTCTCGACTTTGGTTTCTTTCAATTATCTAAATCAGTAACACTTATAAAGTCATACACGATATTGTATGGTGCAGTCATAATAACAATTTGTATTACATCATTTCATTTTACGCTTACGGATAAATATAGATATTGGTATTCAATATATTTATTACAATATACTTCTTATTTTGTAACATTGATATTTTCAAAAGACAGTACGTTCTGTACATATCAATACGAGTTACTTGCAATTGATGAAGAATTGAAAGTCGACAGTGCATCATACCATATTGACGTGAAAATTATTCTTGCTACGTTGCTAACTGTTACATCTAGACTTACATTATCCACTGTATATTGTTATTATTTTCCCGAATACTGCTTTACATCATTAATAAATTTCTTACTATTCTTCGTGCCACTTTTGAGTTTGAATATTACACTCATTATGTTTTTCTTCGTGTTTTACTCTGTTTATTGTCGCATGAAACAATTGATTTTGTTTGTAAACAAAGAATCTGATATTATTACCAGTCATTACCTTTATAAGTTGATGATTGAATCCACTGAGAAAGTCATGAAGACTTTTGGAGTTTTGGTAAGTATATATTGTATGGACTAATATAAGTAATGTAATATAACCAACCAGAACTTAATAATCGGGTCTTAATAAATTTATTGTTAGACACACGAGCACAACTTGTCTGTTACGTTATTTTAGAAAATACTTTTATTACTTACTACTATACTTTTATTTTAGAAAAATATAGTTAAATTCCATGCGAACGAAGCTAGTTTCTAATAATGTCTTTCGTCACGTTTTTCTTGCAGTTTTCCCTCGCGTTGATGTTCACAATTCCAATATTGATGGTATCCGTTTTCTCAACTTTAAAAGACTTTCGTGAATTGTTCACTGATCATTCGGTAAGTATCAAAGAATTGTATCAGTCGCCAAAAGATGTAGCTAATTTGTTTAGCTACATGTTTACAGGAATGTAAATGATTTTGATATCCGGACGATTTGAAATTTTGTTACTTTTTATTTGAATGGTAAGTAAGCAGGTTAGTGATACCCGTTGCCGTGTACATCATATAGGATATTTTTTTGATGTCATCAGGTGACACCCTGGATCCACTCATGCGTTGCTATTCCGGAGGCTAAATTTTATCCTATAATGTCTTATCTTATTCAACCGAAACATAGCTTACAAAGCAAGCTGCTTGGCTGTTGTATTTACTGTTTGTGTTTTTTCGTGAAATGTGGAATGAATTAAAAAATGATTTATCTGCGTTGACGACTTTTCTAAAAGTTTATTTACTACTCGTAATTTTTCTTAAAATTTTGAATCAAATGATAATGGTTTTTTTAAATATCGTTTATTAATATTTTAATTTAAACTCACATTAACAATTAGTTAAATACTTTATATCTGTCTACGTACCCAGCACACCGCTTCGCGGGCTGCGTGGGCGGTGCTGCGCATCGGGAACTGCGGCCGGTGGCGGACACCGGCACTTCTTGTCTGATCGGCACCGACACTTACCGGCTTACTAAATCATCCCACCATTCTTTTTATGCCCAATTTACACTCAGCCCCAGTAGGCAGGGAAGTGAGCAGCGCGAGAGTGGAAACACTTCCCATGCCATCGGCGCTGCCACTCGCGCTGCCCGGCGCTCCCTCGAATGTCGGTTTTTCGTGCGCGAGTCAAAGGACTGGCAGCGTGTTTTTACATTCAGCTCTCTCGCTCATTGGTGCCCGGAAATATTTCCGGCAGCGCGAGTGGCAGGGGAAGCGGCTGAATGTAAACGTAGCATAATGTGCATCTATCTGTATTTCATAACAGTTTTTATATTATATCTATTAACACAGTCCACTAGTTTTATTGGCTATCCAGGACTTAATATATCTATTTACTAATAAATACTTCTGTTTTCAGCTTCACATAGGAAAGTGGGGTGTATTATTTTTTTCAAGTATCGAAACCATGTTTCTGGTCTCCGCGCCGACAGTCTCCGCCGGGTTACTCTCCTCGCAATGGTTTAAATTAAAAGTAATACTACACGAAAAGTTACTGGCTGAAAAGAGTAAGTTTACAATTTATTATAGACTACATATTGTCAAACATTACAGTTTTTATTTGTATTTCGAACACTATCTAAAAAGTAGGTCCTGTATGACGACCTCGGTGGTCTAGCGGTCTAGCACACCGCTTTACGTCCGATGGTCGCGGGTTCGATTCCTCGCACGGTACAAACATTTGTATTCATGAGTATAATTGTTTGTATCGGTCTGGGTGTTTTCTATGTATAATATGTATGTATTTACGAAAAAAAATATCTCTATGTATCTGTATCAGTTATCTAGTACCCATAACACAAGCTTTAGCTAGCTTAACTTGGGACTAGATAGCACTGTGTGAATTGTCCTGAGATTATTATTATTATATTACTCGGCACACTTACTAAACCAAAGGGCGTTCGATAATATTCTTTATTATATTCTTCTTCTTCTTTGTCCATTCCTTAGTCTTGTGGAATGGACAAAGAACTAACCTAACCACCAGGAATGCTTCGTCTATCCAATATTCTCCAGGCATCTCTATCGTGTGCCAAGTGGATCGTTGACTGCATATTTTGCTTAACAGCATCGATAGTACTGGCCACTAAGAGCAACCGCATTGCCATTTGAATTTAGAAAAATATTCCATTCAAAATTAGAACTGTTACAAGAAGGACTCTCCAAATTTGTTATTTTAGGCAAAAGCAAAGACTTTGTAGATGTTTTTACGAAAACTACGCGGATGGAGGTGTATGTAATTTATACTTTACTAGTCTCCGCCTGCGGCTTTGCCCGTGTGTGCTCAGTAGTAGGATGTATCATCAACTGCTTCTTCCTTATCCCATTTATGTGTGGTCGGCGTAATATGTTTTTCTCTTCCATTCATCCCTGTCCGCAGTCATCTCGTTATTTACTCCCTTTCTTATCTTATCATCTTTCACATAGTAGGATGTATATATAGCCTAAACCTTCCTCTTGAGTCAATCATATCTACTTGTCGCGTACCAAGCAGTAACAAAACGCAATACAAAGGGAGCGTTCTGATTGGACCGCACACCCATCCAATTTTAAATACGCAAAGTAAGGACCAAACTTAAAAAATCAACCGATCGATCTAACGTATATTTGTTCACTCCACCAAAATTGTAATTTATCACAGTATTTACCCATTAAATTGAAGACTATAAGCAAAATCTATCATTTAATCACCCCGTAATCTACCATCTATCATTCGAGCCGCATCATCATACCACTACTTTCTGCACTTCTTCTCTATATAAAGACAGAACTTTATATAGAGAAGAAGTACAGAATGCTAACATTACTTTTAAATTAATATTATATTATTTATATATTTTATATATCTCCATTTTTAAGGGAGTAGTACGTTCAAACACGCGGCCTTACCCAAGTCTGATGAGTCTAAAAGTTATATGAGGACGATACATGTGATGACGATAGAAATTTCCGTACAATACGGCATGTGTTGAGAATGACGGCTTTTTGTAATAGGTCTATTGTAGAGGAGGGGATTTGCAACGTGTCTACGTGTTTGATAAGACTTCTTGGTATTATAATTATTATTTATTCTTATGTACTACTCCAAAGACATAAAAAAATTAAACTTTATATATTTGTATCGAGGTCATTGGGCTCCCCAAAAAATGGTCGAGCGCAGTGATGGCTGGCTCATCCGTTTTTTTTTATTGATGATAATGGAATGATGCACCCACCTGCGCTAATGGTTTACGCTGGCGGGGCACCAGTGGAAGATGATAAGATGAGCATGAGTTAGGTCACTTAGCCCATCGTGTGACAAATTAACCAAGAGTTTACCACGATGGTTTCCAGGGGGAACCGCGTGGAGGTCAAACTGACACGGTAATGTACCGTGTCAGGTTGACCTCCAACCAACGATATGATCATCAGTTCACATTACTGACAATTCCCTTGCCCTCCTGGCTCATCCGTCATACTCGTGAGCGAGTGCTGCTTGTTGGGACTGGTCTGCTCTTATCACTACGACTGATTTAATCTTATTGTATATTTATATTTAACCCAAATAAATTAGGGCTGGTTGGTAGTTTGTATTCACACGTTTCGACTTGTAAATGTAATCTTACATGGATTATTTAAAAGAGCAACTCACAAGTTTCTTGCTCGTTCTTCTTGTGATGAGACAGCTTTCCGATCGAGCGGTAGATAAAAAAAAATTGTTATGACTATTCAAAAGTGCTTAAATTAAGTTTATTTGAATAAATGATTTTCTATTCTATTCTATTCAGTCCATGGTATAATGTTCTCGTGCAGCCAGAAACCGTACCAGGTGGAGGCAAATTGTAAGGAGCTCTTTCGCCAAGGACCACAACGATACCATATCACAAAATATACCATCATGAAAGCCACGACCACTCTGCCAAGAGTGAACGACTGAAGAAAAAATTCTATTCTATTCTATTTTTTTTTATTTCAGAGGAAAAAGAATCTAAGGACATATTGAGATTCATCTGCTACGTAGACGCTCGGCCGTTCAAATTCACTGCCTGCAAAGTGCTGACGATCGACTGGTCATTACCCGTGGCTATACTTAACATTTGCGTTACTTATTTAATAGTTATTATACAGTTTACACATATATATCAGTAATTATATCTCTATAAGTAATTTTGCAATAAAATTTACAATATTTTAGTATGTTGTTGTTAGATATGATACCTAATATCAAAATAATTAAAGAGGAAATTTAGTACATAGTATGAAACTAAACTCGCTGTCTGTCCGTTCCTATATAGGCTTAAATCTTTAAAACTATACAACAGATTTTGAAGAGTTTTTTTTAATAGATAGAGTGATATTCAAGAGGAAGGTTTATGTGTATAATACATGCACACCCGTGCGAAACCGGGTAGTTAGTATAAAATAAAATTGGTATTTCCGAACCGATACGATATTGAAACCTTCAAGAAAAGAGCTTATTCCTTTTTAAAAGGCTGACAACGTACTTGCTATTCCCCTGGTGTTGCGGGTGCTCATGGGCGGCGGTAATCACTTACCATCAGGTGAGCCGCAAGCTAGTTTGTATGCTATATATTAAAATAAATATTTTGTGTATAAAAAACTAAGTTATATATATCATAGTCTAATAGTATAATGTTTAAAAAAGTAAAATTGTAATATTTCTATTGTTTTTATATGCAAGGAGGAAATGTAAGGGCCACACCCTTATACCTCCCCCTAAGTATGTACTTTAGGGATGCTATATTAAATATATTTACATATTAAATAAAGCAGTACTAGAAATTCCGTGGTATCATTATCTATCCCTACATACAACTCTATCTCACCGGTCTAGCGGTTTGGCATACTGCTTTGGTAGCGGGTTCGATTCCTCACACAAAAAATGTATTTATGTGTTTATTGCATACTGCTCTGGGTGTTTTCTATGTAATAAGTAAGTATTTATAAAAAGTGTATTTAAATATTTGAATCTGTTGTTTAGTACCTATAATACAAACTCTGCTTAGTTTCGGTCCAGTTAGTGGTGCGTGAATTGTTCAGGATTATTATTTTTATTAATTCTATTATTATTGTTATTACAAATCTTATATTCTAATTAAAAAGGACTATAATGTTTACATATATGCATTAAAAAAAAATCTACGCTGAAATTGAAATTGTACATTATTTTTAGTAATACCCAGATGACCTTACGACCCTATGACCTGTGTAGTTCAGAAGACAGATAGTAAACATGTCAATGACGTCTGAAATAATGTTGAGTATAAATATTTAATAAGTAATATACAAATACATGGCTTAAAGCAATCAATTTATTGATAGATAATATTAGATAATAGAATACAATACATTAAACAAATTGATACGCCTTCAATGTCCCGCTATCACTTAGTTCTGTGACTAATACGGCCAAACTTACAACACACGTTAAGATAATGGCTAACACAAACATAAAAACCTTTGATATAAATCTACTTAAGCCGAAAAATGACAATAGACTATCAAAGAAAATGGTCTACTTCTTCAGAATCATACACATAATATTTGCAATAGATTTCGGTTTCACAAACATCCGGTCGTCCACAACAAGAATTTGCTTGAAAATCTTTTCATTAGCGCAATCCTTGATAATCGCAAGTGCTTATATTTATACATTATATAATTGGGATTATGTTATACCAATTTGGTTCATTCTATTCACTTTACATTATCTATCTTGTGTGGTTGTACTGACGTTCTATAAAACAGACACGTTCTGCGATCTTCAATATAATTTACATGCCATAGACAAAGAACTAAAAACCGATACAGCTTCATATAGAATTGACATTAAAATCATATTTGTATGGATTATAATCACACTATATAGAATTGTACATTCTATTACATTTGTTTATTCATACGGCATTGAAAGTTTTAAGAATGTAATAAGTGTAGCAATATTTCTATTACCTCTGATAGCTATCAACACGACATTGGTTGTAAACGGGTTTGTGTATTATAGCGTTTGTTGTCGAATAAGAAAAATGATTTGTCTCATAAACAATGTTCCTGGTAATACGATTTCCTGTCAGTACATTTACAAGTTGATGATAGATTCAACTGAGAAGGGCATGAAGATATTTGGATTAATTGTGAGTTGAAATTCATTAATATCAACAAGAGTGAAGAAAGTATGGCTTGTAGCAATATACTTTAATCTTTATTTACATAATCTATTTTGACTTCTGATAATTCAATATAAAATTGTGCATCAAGGATTAGGAAATGATGATGATGATGATGATGAATATGATGATTGTGATGATCACATGATCATTATTTCTGGAACTATAGCAGAAGCTACTGTAGTAATTTTTCTTAATATACCACATTCTGTTGCAGTTTACATTGGCCCTAATATTTAGTATGCCAAATGTGATGATATCCGTCTATTACACCGTAAAAGAGATCTATGTGAACAACAATATAGTAATGGTAAGTATTGTAACTTAAGAGATTTTAATTTTTGAGAACTAAACAATAAACAAATCCCACCATGGTTTAACGATTTATACAATATTAATATAGATTTTGCGTAAAAATATCGAAATGACAGCATAAGAGAAGAAAAAAAGACTATAAGAGAATTTAATGACGTTACATTACATGATTTAAATGAAGTAATCGGAGAAGTAGACAGCAGATTGTATATTGGCATCGAAAAAAATATTCGTGCGTCCATATAGATTACCCCTTTTTTATTTGCGTTCAATGTACATGTTGTGAAATTTTCAGAATAATTATCATACTTATGTGATTGAGTTCATGTCATCGATAGAGACCCTCCTAATGATATTTGGTCCTGCTTTATCTGCGGGCTTGCTTTCCTCGGAAATTGAAAAACTGAAATTGGCATTACAGGAACGAGTCTTGAGAGAAAAAGGTAAATGATTGCATTATTTTTTAGATTATTTAATATAATTTCAAAAAATGTATTTAAGTATTTATTTATATCAGTTGTTAAGCTAGCTAGCGAGATTGAGAGTATAAAGCGGTGTTTTACGTATTCTTATTCTACGTAACTTGTATATTTACGGCGGCGTTAGAATTTCCTATTTTTATAAAATAATAGATCATTAAAACCTGTTGTTTTTTCTCTTTACTGATTATATATTACGAGGCATAAATAATATTAAAATATTTTTCAGATTTTGAAGAAATTAGAAATGTGAGAAGATTCATTCGCTATATTGAAGCTCGTCCGTTCAGTTTCACTGTCTGCAAGGTTCTGTCGATCGATTGGTCACTACCCGTCGTTATTCTAAATATTTGCGTTACATATCTGATTGTTATCATCCAATTTACACACACGTATTAATGGCAATTTATCATTATCAGCGTGATAGACTATATCATCATCATAATATTATTTTACAGTTTCCACGACTTCATCATTATCAGTATCATAAACTGTATCAACATCAGAATACTATTTTACAGTTACTTTGTTGAAATCATCAATCCAATTGTTAACATGACTGTTAGATGACAACATGTACAAAACGTAATATTAAATTCATATTTTAGACCTTAACCAATTTATATTTATCATTTTTGTGAGTTGCTTTTAGAACAGTCAGTCCATGACTTGACGCCAATTTTAATGTATTGAAATTATATTGGAATTGTTTACTAAGTATATAATATTGAAGTAATAAGTTTTGAACAGGAACCTTTCTTTATAAATTTACATGTTTAATTATCTTAATAATTAAGATATATGGTAGTTTGACTAATAAAGCCATCATTAAATTTTTGTGTCTGATGTTCCTATCGTTTAACAAATTATTACTTAAAGGAGATATCACATTTTTAGTTGTTTATCGTCTGTGACTAAAGAACATTACTGTCTTTCCAATACTTTTTAAGAAATGCAGCACTCAGTCTATCGATCTGGTCAAATAGGGCCCGTTTTCTTTATATGATCCGATTAAATATAATAATTTAGCTCCAGCGATCGTGTGATAAATCGTATCGTCTGTAGACACTTTAATATGAACACTCACGATAATTAAACGCAATCAATTTAGTGAATTAGAAACAAGAGCAACAAAAGTTTGTCATTTGTTTCAATACAACGCTGTGCCCACTTTATACGTCTGTAAATTTCTATACGAAAAAATGAGTACCTTGATACTAAAATATCCGGAGCAAAAGAATTGCATTCCCAAATCTGTAATTGTCTTTTACCTCATTCCCAATTTCTGCTTTGGTCTCGATTTTGGTTTTGTCAAAGTATTAAAAGCAGAATATCAAATTTTCGTTACTTACATTAGTAGGTTCATCTGTGTATTTTTATTTGTTATAACTGTGGCCCAATACTTTATAAGTTCGTTGCCAAATATTTGGATATGTTTCACCATTATGCAGTTCTGTGGTTACGCAATAACCCGTTTTTTATCTAAATACTTACCTTATGACTTCATTAAAGATCTTACAGATATTAATAATGATATTTCTAACAAAAGATATATTGGTTTGACTGCTTTGTTATATACGTTTGGTGTGGGCCTTACCAAATTATCTTTAGCTTTTGGTTTTTGTCATGGTTCGTATTGTGAGGTAATAAATTTTTTTAAAATGATAATGTTTGTTATTATATCCATGTCCTTCAATGCTATTTACGTTAACAACTCAGTTATATCTTATTGTTTCTATTTGTGCCTTAAAAAAACTAAGGATTTGTGCGAAACTAGTGAAGTGAAAACTGTTACGCGAATGTACATTGACGTAATGGATCGTTTTGATAAAATATTGCCATACTACAGCAAGACTGTAAGTATATATCCTATACATTTCTATACTATTAATATAAATGCGAAAGTATATCTATCTATTTATATATTACCTTATAACGGTAAATATGTCATTATATCTGACAGCGTCGGTGGTTTAGCGGTTTATAGACTGCTTTACTTGCAGTGGTCGCAGGTCTGATTTCTAGCATGGCAGAAACATTTGTATTTTTGTCTAGTATCCATAACACAAGCTCTGCTTGTCTTGGGACTTGATGGCCCAGTGGCAATTGTCCAGGGTTATTATCAATTAAAATAAGTAAAAGTTGAACAATAAGAACGTTAATCATA